CCCTCCGTCGTCGTGCTCTTATACGTTCGGCAAAAGGCGGATAAGGGTGCGCAGTTATTTACGTGCAGTCCTAAAGTCGCATTTTCAGTAGCAGCGAGTGACAAGGGGCAGGAGGGATGACACCGATGGAAGAGATGGCGAGAGGATTCGGCACGGGAGACACGGAGGACGGAGAAAGAGAGGAGAGAAGAGGAGCAGGAGCGGGATGTGGCAGTCTGGACACAGCACGGGGGCCTGTCCCATGTGGGTTTCGTTAATTAACCGAGTCTCTACCGAGTTCTATTCCTCGCGTTATATTACCATCCCTCTCCCCCCCCTCTCTCGTTCTCACCCTACCCCCTTTCCTCTCATGGTTCCTCCGACTCCTCCGCCTCATCTGCTTCCTCCAGCATCGCCGCAGGACCGTTGATGCACCTGGGGGTTGTGGAAAACGCAGGCTTCGTGCCATCTCCACTTTCGCTATCCTTCTCTATCGCGGTGAAATCTATATCTGCGCGCCCCTGTGTTGTGCACTTACCCCAGACGCATTTACAGTTTTGCTGGCAAATGCGCTGCCGTATCGCTTGTATCTCGGCGATCGTCCGTATTAAGGGACGTGCACGAATAAATCCACATTTCACGTACTGCGCACGTAATACGCGGGACTAAACTTTTCGAATATATTTTACAGGCTTTGTGCGGAAATAAAAGAGTGCAATGGCGGTTAGTAACGATTTCGAAGCGAAACGAGGTTTCATTTAAAACAGCTGATCCCCGATTTAATTGACATTAATTACTATTGTCATTGATAGACACGGGAGATGCGATATACACAGTAAAAAATTGTTGTTGTTAAAATTTGTGTTAGAATTTTCTTGTTACCACGTTTTGATTAATACTTTGATGTAAGATTAACATACAACCTATATGTTATTATTTTTATAACGTTTTCATGTGTTACAGTTATGTCAACTTTATAACTTAATATTTTCTATATATATCTCTTAGAAATGGAATATTATTTTTAACGTAATCATTTTAAACAATCAACATGTCTCAAAGTCAGTTTAACATTAACTAGGAAAAGTTAAAGTGAATCTTCAAATAATCTTGAACTTTGACATACAAAAATAATCAAATTTATTAAAATCAAATGTTTCTATTACAAATAAATTAAAATAATTACTATTATATGTTAAGGCTCTCAACATTTCTTACGAGTTATTGTAACTATTTCTTCATGTAAGTTTTAATTAATTTGTATGTTATTTTTACATTACACTTAAAGTCACGATAACAAAAATAAATGTAAAGTATCGTGTCAATTATTTAACATTTTTAGTTTGTCAAAAAGTAACATACGCCGAATGCGTTATTTAACTTAAAATTTAGAGTGAACTTTCTGGGACACGTGAAAAGTGTTATAATTAACATTTTATTTTTAATTCACATTTTTTTACTGCGTACGTTGAATCAATTATGTGAGGCACTAATTAAGCGTTTGTTTTGGAAAAACCAATCTCAAGTGTAACAGATTCCACGTAAAAACGGTCTCGCGTAGAAAGTGGTTTGCAAAACGCGAGAGATGGTAGTCGCTACCCCCTTAAAAAAATATTATTCTCCTGTACATACACGGGGGTAGGAAAACAATGAAAACGAATTCATCCTACTAACGTAAACGAGGGCGCAAATGATATATACGGTGTATTCGCGCGGCGAGAAACCATCCCCGATAAATCACAACGATCGACAAAAACTTGACGATATATCAATTAGGTGCGAGCGTGCACGCGTCGATTCTCAATTATTATATTCTCGTCGCCGCTGATTTACCGCGTCACGGATGGGACGGGGCGGGGGTGGAAGGAAAGGGAAGGGGGGGGCGCGTTCTAACTCTCCGCGCGCGCCCTGTTGTTAATTAATCGTACGTTTATTTATCGCGTTTATTCGCCATCGCCCTTATCAGCATTCTCCTCCTATCGTGCCGTCCCGTATGCCACGGCATACGATTCCGCGCAATCGATGAGTAGTTAATCAAAAGTCGCTGCGTTCGCGATTCTGTTTTAATCGCGTCGCGCATCCCGCTGCATCGCTCCTTCCGCTGTCGCTCCTTTTTTTCGCGTGCCTGTTATAAATTCAAAATATGGAAGAGATGCCGCACGATATTCGCAAGTCAGCATCTGACTGTTTTTCATCGACACGTGATAATTTTTAAACTGCGAAAGCAGCAAATCTCTGGTCTAAATCGATTGGTTTTAAATTAATTGGCTCAATTAGATTTAATTAAACGTTATATAATTGTCGCGTTGCTGTTTTCGTTCTTCCGATCTCGCACGGCCCCGTGACGGCGAGTGAACGCGCACAATCGAATTGTGAGGGGTTTAAGAAGAAGAGCGGGGAAACACGTAGACAATGCTCGGTATATCCGTACCGAGGAAATGAGATCTATATTAATTTCTGCAGCCGTCGCGCGACACCGTCGACGTCCCCGGTTATAACACGATCCTCTTCCTCTTCCGCTAATCGTGATAACCGTCCGATTTGTCTCCACCTCTGCCATTTCCTTTTGTCGATTCGAAATTACAACTCGACACGTACTTGGGCGTTTTAATAAAATATCATTAATCGTTTAGGAGAATCTGCGAATTGACGAGGGTGAATTTATAATGCAGAAATACTTTTCTTTTTATGAGAGCAGATCTGAACGTATTAAAAAAACAGGAATATAAAATAATAAAATTTTCCCCTCAATACATACACAGTAAAAAATAAAATGTTAATTATAATATTTTTCACACGTCCCAGAAAGTCCACTCTAAATTTTAAGTTAAAATAGCTTATTCGTCGTATGTTACTTTTTGACAAACTAAAAATGTTAAATAATTGACACGATACTTTACATTTATTTTTGGTATCGTGACTTTAAGTGTATTGTACACAGTAAAAAATTTTGTGTTAAATTTAACATATTTCACATGTCCCAATTTATCTACTCTAATTTTAATGTTAATTTAACAGAGGGCAAGTATGTAAATAAATAACACAAGTAATATGTTTAAAAATTAACACAAAAGTGTAACACTTAAACTTTATCTGGAAATAAAGTTTATGTTAAATTAACATATTTATAATGTTAAATTTAATTAAAAGAAAATGTTATTCTTACATTTTTATGATAAATAACAGAAGAAATATGTCGATTTAACATATGGAAACTGTTATAGAGAGAAAAATAACACAACTTATCTGTTCATTTTAACATAAAACATATTTCATCAAAAATTCCTGCATTTACATATTAATTGTGTTGTTTTAATTCTTAGAAACAGTAAATATTAACTCAATGCAGAAATGTCAAAATAACGCAAATAATATGTTACAATAACATAAGAGTATATTGAAAATTTAACACAAAAATTTTTACACGAGAAAATTTTAACAGAAATACAAAATGTTTTTTATTGTGTAAAAATAACATACAAAACTAACATGAAAAAATGGTTCAAATAACTCGTAAGAAATGTTGAGGATCTTAACATATAATAGTAATTATTTTAACTTATTTGTAATAGAAACATTTGATTTTAGTAAATTAAATAATTAATAAATTAGTATATTAAATAATTTGATGATATTTTTGTATGTCAAAGTTCAAAATTATTTGAAGATTCACTTTTCTTGGAATGTTAAACTAACTTTGATATATTGATTGTTTAAAATGATGATATTAAAAATACTCAAAATAATATTCCATTTCTAAGAGACATATACAACGTGTTGAGTTATAAAGTTAATATAAATGTAACACATGAAAACGTTATAAAAATAATAACATATAGGTTGTATGTCAATTTTACATTAAAGTACTAATCAAAACGTGGTAACACAAGAAAATTTTAACATACGTACGCACAATTTTTTACCATGTATATATTAATCATTGATCGTGTGAGGAATAAATATCCAAGAGTTTACTCGCATTTATTTTCGCGATGAGAAATGGCGCAATTTTACTATATCACGGTTAAATTAATCTTGCCGTACTTTTGCGAACAGCGCCCTTACAACGAGATAGCGTTGCCGAACATCTTTTGAATTAAATCTCGTAATATTCGACGTCTCGTGGTTTATAGAGTTAATTATTTTCCACGGTGGAACGTGGAAAATATTGATAATCGATGGCGCGCCAGGGAATCGTTCGCCAAAAGCGATTATCTTTCGTGTTGATAGAACGACGCCTGTGCATTCGCGTAGGTGGGCTTGACTCGTAGCCTGGATACCGATCGTTAACTGTTTGACCCAATTCCGAAGGCTATAACGCCGCGCAATATGTACAATAACGCGGTAACAATTCAATTCTCGTTCGCGTAAGAGGCTAAGAAAGCTGCCGGTAGGAAGGGAGACCCTGGCAAAGACAAAAGGTACAATACATTTCGTTGTTGCAAGAAAACTGATTAAAATGCTTGACTCATTACGTCGTTTACAGGTGAAATTGTAGGACAAAAAGATCGACAAATACTCATTTTACGAGCGAACTTGTCCTGATATAAAGGGATGAAATTCTCATATAGGATGACAAGGGATGAAAATCGACGCGAGAAACTTGGAAAAATATGTATCCATGAATTAATTGGATGACTGTCAAAAATTAATTAAAATTTAATTAATCGAAATTTTTTAAATTCCTGATTATTTCTGGAGATCTTTTCCGAACGAACCTTTCTCGTAGCGATACTTATTTTTCAGGGGCACTATTCTTAGATAATTAAGTTAGCGAGAAATATCATAGAATACAATATAGGAAATATGTATTTTTAATGGTCGCGTTGCAGTATGTCGTAAAATTATACTGGCAACGATATCGCCGTTATCGCGATATTATAACACGAGTGATGACGCGTTGCAACGATCGCGTGTAGCGTTTTGATGTCAAAATAGCAGGTCGTTTTTTTCGATATCATCGGTCGATGCCTGGTGTGGTTTGGTCGAAAACTTTTCGCCGCGAAAAAAGACGAGGTTTCCGTATGCATCGTGCTTTGCATTCCTGAGGTTTGGCGCTAACGGAGGAGAAATGGCGTCCGTTTGTTGTCGGCGGCTCGCGAAACGTTCGTTCGTCGCTTCGTGAAAGCCAGCCCGCGACGATTCGCAGAATAGAGAGACTCGTAAAATGGCGCGCACACGCTCTTTATGGTCCAGTTAAGTTTTCATGCCTCATTGTCGTCGATCCCTGCGAGAATAATAACCCCAGGCATTACGTTCGTACATAACGTGATATTGTACCGGCGAATATGCGCGATAAGCGCGAGAGATTAAAAATAATTATGCGATTGACCTGCCGATTCGCTCATGCAATCTATTCGCGCGCGTCAATTATGTTCGGAAAAATCCATTTTGAGAGCTCAAACACAATGGTAAGGGAAATATTTTGTTCTGTACCTGTTTTGCATCGGTTCCCATGATGGTTCGCGTTTGCGTCTCTTCGCTTGAATAATGTGTGTATTCCTGTAACAATATTTTGGGTCAATATGTGAAAATTCTTATTATTTTTCTTATATTATTGAACTTATTATAAAAGATATTACAATAAAATAATGCTAGTACTGATAATTTTTTTTCTTCTATCTTTTATTTTTTTATAAAAACAGCAATAGATTTTCGCGTTTGAAAAGATCAAAACATGTCCAGCAAAATTGAATAATTTTAAATATATTCCATCATTTCCATCATTTTTGAAAAAAAAAAAAAAACATCGTTTTAAGTCGTTTTTTATATTAAAGAAGATCAGGATCTACCCACTGAACAATCTACTTCCTAAAAATATGGAAATCCTAGAATACTCGTGGATTTCCTTTGTATTTGGAAAAATCAGGAATTTCTGGAATTTTATTGGAACTAAAAAAAATCTTGTTTTCATAATTTTACACTTAAATTGCAAACAGTCGATAATTCGCCAATAAGTCAAATCGTGTCTAAAATATTATTATTATTTCTAATTATTATTATTATCTCTGTTTATATAGGGTGTTTTTTAATAAGTGCGAAAAATTTTAGGAGATGATTTTTTGTCGAAAATTAATAAAGGAGATTTTTCATATACTCCTACATTCCTTCCTGTGGAATTACATTCCTCCAAAAAAGGAGGTAAAAAATTAGGTTTTTATTTTTTTCTCAAATTTGGAACAAGAGAAATGAAATTAGGTGGATGTTTTCTACTGTGAAAAGATTATTTATTAATATTTTTTCCAGCCTCCCGTATTGTTATAAGAGGATAAAATTAGCAACCCCTATTCAATTTTTTATTAGAACTTTTTGAGCCGGAATATGATTATCTAAAAATATGTAATAAAAAGTTTGATTTATTTAGAAACTTGTTTATTTCTTTTATTTTTTTTCATAAAATCAATAGTTTTCCAGAAAAAAAATAAAATACATTATCGTGCACAACACGATTTTTATCTCAACAAAAGCTATTCAGTTTTTTTTAATACATTTGCAAATCTAACACTTGAAACTCAAGTATTTTTCTTTTGTATTAGAGAAAAGCATTAGAAAATGCTTAGAATAAAAAATCTTATTTTCGAAAAAGTCGCATAAAAAATTTTAAAATATTTAAAATATTTAAAATCTTTAAAATATTCTCTTTACCAGGCATTTTAAATAAACTTGGAAGAAAGGGAATTTTCAGGGAACTTACACTTTCACTTTATTAGAAGTTTTGAGTAGACATCTTAAAAGTGTATGTGACACTTTTGTAACATACATAGTTTTGTTAAATTAAAAAAAAGGAAAAAGGTTCAAGTCAATCTTAGTCCATCAATATACACTCGATCTGCAGTCTTTGTTAGGATTAATAAATGAACAGAAAAAAATGTAAGTTGCACCATGTATCGTAAACAGTGTCAAAGATACTAATCTCACTTTGATTTGAATAAATTGCCTTATCGCGAAATTCCAGCGAGACTTGTAGGAGGGCGAGCGACAACCGCATAACAACATCGTCGCCATCGAACTCGGGCTAACACACGACGTTGTCATTGCGCATTACAATAGGCGGTGCGTTATGTAAGCCGGTCACGTGTGTCACAGGTCCTATGGGCTCACGCACGCATACATGTGCCGACTTGAAGGCGGCACGGGGGGACAATCACAATCGCGCGATTCTCCTACAGGCGGAATTATTGTCACGTGTTCAAAGTAAAAGGCACGTTTATCGTCGATTGTTGCGGAATTTTGTCACGCCACCCGTTCTCGTACCTTTCGATGCGAAAAACGCTGGTAGGTTTCAGCAAAACGTACAAAAAAATAAACGGAATTAAATTGACTTGAAAAAAATTATAGGTCTCTATAAACTTATAAATTTTTTATTACATATAAATAGTATATTAAAATAAAATAATGCTTTGTTTTGAAATGTATATATATTTTATTTATATAATAAATTTGTAATTTTGTGATTTTCCAAATTATTCTTTCTCCAGAGATTTTTCTCCAGAGATTATTCTTTCTCCAGAGATTTTTCAATTTTATTCCAGGAGAAATGACACACATAAATTAAATATATATATAATTAATCTTTATAAATTTTGTATTTAAATTTTATATTGATTTTTAATATTTTATATAAATATATATTAATAATTTTAAATATATATATTTCTTTTTTTATACTTTGGTGTATTATTTTATTATTTTCTAAAAAAAATAAGTATAAGGGGGATGAATAAGTATAAGGGAGATGAATAAGCTTCAATGAATAATTATTTTATTCATCCACTTGTATATATATATATATATATATATATATATATATATATATATATATATATTGTAATTGTAGGATTGTTATCACATGTATCATGGACAATTATTTCAGTAGTAGGTTCTGATTTATGTTACTTTGCTCGAATAACGTTCGTTGAATAGAAATTGGATACTACCGTAATACGCGCGCTATTAGTATGCAGCAAAAATGAACCGCGCGCCCCTTTCGAGGCGAAGGGTGAAATTAGTTTTATCCACGTCAGGAGCATCTGATATACACGGCACGCAGCGTTACCTACCGGAAGCAGAGATGGAAACGCGGAGGCTGGCGTCGGGGCCGAAGTGTAAAGCCCCCCCGGGGCAACAATTGTGCATTCATCGGGGCGAGGGACTCTAATTAAAACGCATTGTTTATATTCTTTGCAGGAAGCTTCTCGCTTCTCCTTCGTTCCCTTCGCGTCCTAGACACGCACCTCTGCTTCCGAGAGTCGCCTTCTTCCTTTCCTCCCCTTTCTCTTATCCACACTTGAGTTTTCCCAAGGGTTCTCTTACAGAAACTTTCCGGTAACTCGTTAAAGATAATGCGGAACGGAAGTCTGGTTAGGCGTCTACCTGATCCCCTTTCAAACTGGTCGCGTAAACAATCGATCGTTCTACTTACATTTTCGCGGACGTTCCACGCTAGAGCCGATCCAATTTCCCCTTCTATTGGATATTCTTGTATCTTGAAGAAGCAAATTTTGAATGCTGGAAGAGCGTTTTTACCTCTTGTTTTCTTAAGCTTCATCGAGCTAGCGATTTCATTTTCGGTACAATTGATGAGGGATATCGGTTTTCCCACCCAAGGACTTTTAGAATTCTTGCACTGAGAAAAAATCTGGTTGCATTAATTAGAATTCTGGTAGATTTAACCAGTATGTCTGTTGGAAAATGGACGAACCAGAATTCTTGTAGGAATTGACAGATGAATCTGATCAATTTTTTCCTGTTAAATTTACCAAATTTTCTGGTTAATTATACTAAACTCACACAGAAAAAAAGGACATTCTTATTTTGAAAATATATTTAGTTTTAACATGGAAATCTTGAAATGAGATTATATCGAGTTAATTTAAGAAAAATATAATTGCTTGAATAATTGCTTACTTGAATGAAGCCATTTTATATAGTTCAATCGAGAAAAATATATTCTCATGATTAAGATTTAATTGAATGGAAAAAAAACAATGTTGGATAGAAAATAACATTTTTAAATCAAAGATTATAATTTTCTTAAAGTAGAGTTAAATAATTACATATTCTTGAGGTGACAATTACAATATTAAAATAAGATAATATTGTTGAAATTTAAAATTATTAAATTCTTCTAAGAAGATTAGAAATTGTTGCGTATACACAAAACAATGAACGCGTTAGTTTAAGTATATAAGTTTTGATTTGACACTTCTTTTTTTTTTGTGCACCAGTACTAAGTCGTCTAAAATTTTTTTCATCTAATCTCAAAAACCTGTTTAATATTCTGAATTCCAACAAGATTATTGGATAAATTTAATCCAGATTTTTATTGAATAAATTATTTTAAGTTCAGTTTGTTAGAAATTAAACTGATAAACAGTGATGCAAGAAGAGGATGCAGCTCAAACACACACAATCAGAGAACTAGCATCCTCTTTCTGGCACTGCTCGTAAGAGAAAAAAGATATATTTTGGATTTAATGTTAATACTAGTTCTACTAGTTAATACTAGAGTGGCTCACCACCTAACCTAAAGCAAAGAAATTAATATGACAAAAAATTTTATAGATCTAATCAGAAAATAATCAAATCCTTATAGTAAAATTTATTAAACGTTCTAGTTATAAAAATCGAGTCTTATCTCGACAACTAGAAATTCTTGTTTGATTTAATCAAAACGCCTTCAATCATATACGTCTTGTTGGTACAATCAAACAATTTTTCTCAGTGTGATACGTTTTGCAGAGAGAATTCTGTAAGTTGTAAAAGTGATACAGAGAAACGAGAGCAAAGCATAGAAAGCTTTAACAGCCGATGTACACGCAGACTTTTCGCGTAAACCGCTTTTAACGCGTCTGTGCTGCTGAATCGATACCTCGATAGCCGCACAATCCCTAACAGGATACAAGCTCCGCCGAGCGGAAGCGCCATCGATACGCGTCGTTCTTCCGATTTGGCGTATCGGTGTTCTCGGAGCAAAGCCAGTCTCGCCAATTACAGCAAAATAGGATGCAGGCGACACGATTCGCACATATCGGCGAATTACAGAGGCTGCCAGACGTGTGGAAGATGTCAAGGGACCTGCCGCACGTAGATCGGGGAAACGAATATAGGGACGAGAGGACAAAAGAACTAAGAGAAAGAGAGCGAGGAAGAGAAAGAGAGGACCGTTTCAGGAATCGAATTTGCCGAGGACCTTCATTTCGTCCTCGTATAACTCCTACGTCGGGCACGTCGTGCGCAGACTGTCGAGATACGCTTTACCGAAGAGAAAACCTCGTGTCGATCTTTCGTTCCTTTCGCCCCTCAGGAAAATTACGTTCCCGATACAAATCGTAATTGCATGTAAAGCGAGCCTACGAGAAATACGAGCGGTCATATTTCACATTGCTCGCCGCAGTTAGCGCCGACCGACATTACGAGCTTATTCTTTCGCATATTCGTATGTATGATACACGAGAACAGATATATATGTATATACAGGGTGTCCCAAAACTCATAATCAA